GGTACAGGATCTCATATGGAAAATACAAATATGCTTCTACTTGAATTTGGGAGTTTGCAGTTAATCAGAAAAACAATTAAAAACACTTCATACCCTGTGGTCAGATAACAAAATATCTGATAGCTGCAATTTTTTTTTTCAAATAGTTGTTTTTGCAATTAGTGAAAAAATAGTGACCGAAAAAGAGCTAAATTTAGATTAGAGATTTGTAAACTAGGCTTCCTTGGTTTTATTTTAATTGTATTATGTGATAATTCTGCATTTTAATTGGCACTTGGATATCAAGATGATAGACACCTTAAAATACAATGACAGAAGAATCTGCAGTGGAGAAAGGCGCTGTCAGAAGTAGAGACAAAACTCCTTTATCCATAACAGGTTAGGCACAACATGGGTAAGTACAATCCTGAAGAAAGCAAGATAATCCTGTCATCGTTTAATGTCAAGCCATTATAATAGAGGAGGAAGGGAAATCAATGATATTAGATTTTTTTACTCAATCATACAACTCATTCCTCTTACTTGAACTCTGCGCTGTATTTCTCTAAACACTTGCACCCACTGAATTTTTTGTGACGGTGTACTCCATTCGGTGTATGTTGCAAACCCCTTTCTATATATGTAACACATATATCCAGACAGTGATAGCAAACATGCCACAGCTTATTCTACAGAGTTCAAGACACTGAAGCAGTTTTGCAATGTACCAGTAAACTACATTTCACTGGAACAAGGTGAGATTACATTTTCATTTTAAGTGCAAAGACCAAGGACTGAGGTTACGCCACCAGTGACATAAATTACTGGATATTAATAAAAGTGTGACTATTCAGATTCAAATGGAAATCAGCAACCTGGGAATTTTAATAACTTTTCTTTTTTCACACATCTTAGAAAAGTGTTTCTAGTCAAATCATGAGCAGCTGGCGCTGGAAATGCAAAGCTTCAGCCAGTTCCAAACTCTTTGCCTGGCTGACAAACTTTGAAAATATCAGCTCCCCTTTGGCCAAGAGCCAGAAACTAGGCTTCCCCAGCCAAAAAGGTTGTCTTGCAGGGCCGGAAAGTGGCAATGCACGTGCAGACGAGGACCTGGGCTCTCTTCCTACAGCTCCATTTCCATTAGATGCCCTTTTCCTAATGCAGGGCAGAAGTTGCAAAGGCAGCAGTGGAAGGGATCCCTCTGCAACCCAGATTGCATCCGAGGGACTAGACTAGAGGGCATCAGGTCAGGGACTCCTCTCCTCCTGGTCCATGGCAGAAAGAGTGGAGCACGGAGAACCTCCGAGATTCACTCCTTGCAGCTACCCACAGCCACTGTTGTCCTAGTAAAGCTAGGGTGGCATTTTCACACTTGCAAATAACTGTTACTAAAAAGGTGCCAGAACTTTCACTAAAAAGTAAGCAGAGTGTCTATCAAAGTCCAACAGTGTCATGAGCTGGAATCTAACCAAGAACATACCTTGTGTCTATACTTACAGCTGCTTCCCTTTCAGTGAAAGCTATGAATTCTTCCACATTTATCAAAGCCTGCATTGCCCAGGGGTCAGTGACTCTATCTTTCTGATTTTACCACTAGCCCGTAGTAAGGAAATTCCCACCTGTTTTAATGCCTTGATCCATGGGAGCAGGAGACAAAGTCTTTTGCTGCAAAATGAATGTAGCCAGAATAGATATTCAAGCTGCAGCCTGAAACGATCCCTCCTGGATGAACAACAAAAAGGACTCTCAAACTCAGAGGATGAAGAGCTGCCAGGTGGCAGAGTCTCCCCACTGGAAAAAACACACCCCCAGTTTTGTGCTGGAGGAAGATGAGAAAGAAGAGAGAAAGCTTTCTTCCTAGCAAAGGTCTAATAAAGAACAGGGCCAAGCACAGTGGAGAAGGAAAAGATGGTCCAGTCCCCAGTAGACACAATGGGGATGAGCAGACCACGCTCTACCTTCTTCTTGAATTTAATTTCAAGGCAATGACTGAGTCATGATGTGAGTCTCCCAGTTGTTTCATTTAACTTGTACAGTTTTGGCACATGTGGAAACAAAGCTGGAAATCCCAATGCAAAATGTGCTCCTATGCTGATGGGGACCAATCATCCTAGGACAATTCAGCGTAAGCCCTTCACCATACAGTTGTACAAACACTGCACCCTGCTTCAGCTGTCGAGGAATAAGGTCAGTAGAGACTCTTACTTGCCTGAAGGTCTCCAGTATTACAACTCCCAAGCAGTATAAAACTAAGAAAGAGATGTGCTTAAAAGAGAATATTAATTATAAAACCAATTCATTTGTTGTTCTTGTCCTTCATGTTGTGTTTTCAGAATCTTTCAGCTACACTTGCCCAGGTGACCTCCTGGTTCCTAAAGCCTGCATTTTCAGAAAAACCAAATACCAAAAGATGTTTCAGCACACCTCTGAGAGCTGGCAGCATTTCACATTTCTCATCTTTCTGGAATGTACCAACACCTAGGGGAGTATTTGCAAAACCCCAAGATCATCATCAACAGCCCTTCAGGGCTTTTCTAGCTATCAGGCTGTGGTTACTTTCTTCCTTCAAACTTGACTTTACAGACCGCATGGTGGTCTGTGGCAAGCTGTAAGGTCATATGGTGTGGACTCATCTTTGTTTCCAGATCTCCCTCTCAGACACTCGGACTCTTGGGCGAAGCAGCTCAGACCCTTACAGAAGCTGGGACTAAGACAGAGGCACAAGCTTTTTATTTGTCTGTATTAGGAATTATTTCCTGAAGAGAGGTAGGGAAAAAACCCAAGTGCCATCCTGACAAAGAGAGTCACTAATGGGATGATGTAGAGCAGATCCTCTGAAGCAACTGCAGTAGGTACCAGAGAGGGAGAGAGAAGGAGCAGGCGGGAGAAGAGCCTGCAGGAAAGCGAGGCGGATGAGGAGCCGGTGGAAGGAGACTGCACATGGGCACAGAAACAGAGCTGAGACAATAGCATTTTAAAGGCATAGCAAAAAGAGATGTTCAGATGTTTTCCCACTACCATATCACATTAAGGATAGCTAAAAAAACCCCCCCAAAAACCAACCAAACCCTCCTAATACTATTTTTCCACAGAGGCAATTGCAGTCACTGCTACAGGGATGTTGTCTGATGACAAATGGGATATTGATTGGCAGGGGAGGTGGTACACAAGATTGGTTCACATCTTAACAGAGAGCCTTAGTTAGAGAAGTTTGAGAATCCCTGCTTTCAAGGCTATAAAGTTAACTTTAGGTAAGAAACTCCACCGTTCACAAGTTTTCTCCTAAATCATGTTTTTAAGCTGAGAACATAAATAGGAGCTTTATCAAGAACTTGTCAAATCATTTGTTTTAAGTTAAATCCTGAATTTTCAGGAAATGATCAAGAATATAAAAGTAACTTTTTTATTATGGCTGCACCACTTGTCCCCTTATCCCCAGTAAAAGAAGTGACGGGTATTCATTAGTATTCCTGTTACAACCCTTACGGCTACACTGTATAAGCCACTCTTAGCTGTGTGCTAGACTCCCCATTTTATGCAGGATACTTAAAAGAAACATCATCTCATCGTATGGATGACATGAAGAATACAGCAACTTTTGTCATACCTCAAAATACAAGAAATTAAAAAACATAAGAAATCTAAGAAATCTCTTATAAAATGAAATAAATGACATAAATCAAATAATAACATGGTTATTAGAGTTTTAAATCCCCAAGTGCTATGCTGATCACTCCATGCGTATCTAGAGGCAGTATTTGGAGTTCATATAAGACTTGTGAAACATCGTACTGGCTCTTTTGTGCAGAACATACGTTTCACAAACATGACAAAGTACACAATAAAGTGCAGGATAATATACACACGTTTTCCCTAGCTAAATAACTAAAGGTCATGTAATGCATTTGAAAAAGTACTTCAAAAGACTGTAACAGGTAAAAGTCCTACTAAACAAGCATTCACCCGGGATGGAAATAGTTCCTGAGTTACCTGTTTTTTTAAAACTATTTTAAAAAGTCAAACTACCTAAGCACATGAGAAAGTAAATACATTTAAAGAAAACTCTGTAATATTTGGACGCATGTGGCAAGCTCACTTCAAAGTACTGAACTTTAACTAAAGTCTATTCATCTGTATTTCAAAAGATAGCACTGGATTCTACTTTAAAATCTGTTATTTCAGTTAAAGACAGTTTGTAACATCAGATACACATATAACTTATAAAGACAATTTATCCACAAAGTAATTTGGACCTACTAACTTTTTTCCCCAAGGGACAGGAAGAACACTTTCTGGACCTGCAATATTATTTGTTTTTAAAATATCAAAGCACCATTTGTTTCCAGCTGATGTGGTTAAATCTCTCCATCTCTGATGACCATCAGCACTTCATATCCATCTAACATTCATCACAGAAGTCAAAATCATCACACTTAACAAAACATTGCCCATACACTTTAATCCTTTCAACTACACCTACACCAAGTATCGCAGACTTTTAAAACCCACTCTCCTGAAATTAAATAAATAAATAATATAATTGTGGAGCATCAGTAACCAGATAGTATTCTCAAATTTCAGTGATCTAGTCAATGGAGCCTTCCCCCACGTACTGTGCTCTGTTTCATGCAGTACATGGCTTTAGCTGGCCAAATCTTTTTTTCCCCACTGAATCAGTAGAACAGTGAAGATCTTACTTTTTTTTTTCTTTTTTTTTTTTTTTTTTTTTTTTTTTTAAGCAGTGGCATATCAATGAGGCACAGATGTGTATTCCAACTCTGCATGGATGAGCACACTGTTCAATAGTGCTGGCTCACACGGTATCAGGGCAAGTTATCACTTCCCATGAAGGCACTCTTATCACCAGGGCCCAGAGAGGTGGCTGCAAATCGCAGCCTTTTTATTTTCAAGGCAGTTTTGCTGAACATTCAGGCTTCAAAGATTCACACTTCCAAAACTCTATAAGAGTTTGTGAACGCTCAATTTGCCAAAACTGTTTACAGTGTAATTGGGCACCGTACCTGTGTCCATGAGATAGCGAAGGCGCTTCTCCACCAGCGCGGCACGGGTGTCAATTTGCTTTTGCTCATTCTCTAGTGCTGCCAATTCTCCTACAACATACTGACTGGTGTCTTTGAACCCTTTCTGTTAAAGAGAACAAACAAGAAGAAAAAACATCACTTGTAAGTTGCATTTTTCCTTTCCACAAACACTTAGTAAGGCACTTACCTAAACAACCAAATATCATGCTCACTACCAAAAAGCTAACACTTACATTTCATAAACTTTACAATTTTGCCAAATGTCCTTATTTGTTTATTAAAACACCCTGGTTTTTCCTTAGGGAACATTTGATTTTGCAGTTTTTTACTACCTGACTGGCTTTTTGAAATTCCTCTAATTTATTTCTAAGTACATAAAAGCTGCTGTAACAAAGCATAATGAAAGGAAACGTAATCCAAATAAAGCACTATTTAACGTGCCATTTCTACTCCATTCACATTTTATTCAATTTTAAAACGCTAACTTTAGGGGCTAGAAGAACTAGCACGAAAGTCTCTAATGACAATTAAAAAATGGGCTTTTGAGATTAAAACCAAACCTGAGACAAGCTCCCTGGCTTGTTTAGCTCCTCTGGGTCAACTGTAATGCCGAGGCTCACCAGCCCAGGCTATCATGCCCCTCTGGGTTTCTCTGAGTGCAGGCAATTGCCCTGCTACACAGCAATCTGTAAAAATACTGCTAATTACTCTAACTGTGATTCTTATCCTGGGAAGTGGTGACAAGCAGCACTGGGCAGACGCTCAGGTGCACAGGGACTAACTTGAGCTGTCCTTCCTCTGCGCTGGCTCACGCTCAGCCAGGAGGCTGCCCCGGGATGCCAAGTTGACAAATTGTGTTGAACCTTACTGAGAAAGCTGTGGAAACACTAACGGGTCAAGTTTGCCTCTTGTACCCGAGAACAGTCATTTAATACCTCCAAGCATCCTCATGTGGCTCAACAACTTCCACACAGTGTTTTGGCTGTACCAAGTTATTATGGGCTGTATACAATGCTGAAATGTCATTCCTGAAGCATGTTTTTGCATAAGCTAGGAAAAAAATATTACTTCTTCCAAGTAAACCCATCCATTTCTTCCTCCTTTCTCCTACTCCTGCGCCAGAGCTTCGGAGAATGGTTTAAAGTTGGGAAAAAAACACCCTGGCAAAATGATTCCCTGTTTCATCTGCACTCTGTAAAGGATGCAAGTAAAATCACTGTCCTTTGCAAACAGAAAAATATACATTTGGTTTGGTTTTTTTTTTTTATGAGGCTTACTTCCCTACTGGAGGCTAACTTGTTGCTGCATAAGGGTCTCACATACTTTCACCAAACGTTTTCAATTGTTTTTCTGTAAATGTGTCTGAAACCATCAATTCAGCTTTATATTTAGGCAACAGGTATAATAATTACATCAGCATATTATTTCAAGTAAAGACACGTTCAAAGTTAAGGCTAATGGAACGGCTGAGCTTCCAGGACCAGTAACGAGCGCAGAACTTTGACATTTGGGGTACCTGAATTTAAGCACATTATGCCTCCATTAATTTGGTCCTTCTCTTCCTACACAACAGCCAACCGTATCAGGTGTAATGGAAACCCCTTCTCTACCTGTCATACAGCCAGAAAAACAACAACAAAAATCCCTGAAAGCAGTCCCTGAAGGAAAAGAAAAAATCAGTCTGGGGAGTCGAGGTGATGTGCAATATATTGCCTTTCATCAACTATAATTAATTGAAAATAGTGTGAAAACTTCCCTAATGTTAGCATGCATAATTGTTAACAATTGTTATTAGAAGATGAAAAGAAACGCTGTGTCAGGCTGAAATATCCCAAGAGTTCATGTGTATCATCTGCATATATAATGTGAACTTACTGTGCCAGACCTTTTCAGCTCTGCAAAAGTACAACTGGGCTAAAAATAACTCCAGCTCGTAAAAAGTTCGATGTTTTGGTGTAGATATGACAGCGGTACAAAATCGCTACTCAGCTCTCGATTGCTTCAACAAAAGTGACAAACGTGTTAGAGAAATTATGGAGAGCAGAAAACAACCACCATCAAAGGCTGTGTTGTGTTTTCAGACAAAAAAAATTCAGGTTAAAACTTGTTCTTCCTGCTTCTGTCCCGCAGCTGTCCATCAAAACCAGCTTTCTCCCTGCGGTCTATCAAATATTTCCCTCACAAATCAATTTTACACATGATCAGCCCATACCCCTACTGAGCTGAACCTCCCCGTTAATTAAGTGAAGAAATTACCATATATATTATATTAATGCAAACATCATTCAGCTAGTAATTCACGGCTGATCTGGATAATGGAAAGGTTGAACACCCATTAACCCAAGCCAACAAAATGGGTTGGCTGAGAAATTCTAGCAGGTCTCATGTGACTCTTCCCTCTAACTGCAGCTCTGCGGTATCTGCTATTGTAATAATTAAAATCCTCCCGGTAGATCAATACTGGAATCTCTTTATGGGAAGTGCCCTGATGGAAATGTCTCAAGGAAGCTGGGCCTGTGGAACTCTGAAAAATTCATTTTTTTTATCTGACAATTATCACCACACTGCAGACTAATTCAACAGTGCACCCCTCTCACTCTGCTTTGAATGCACTGGAGATTGACATCTAAAAAAACCTAACATCTCATTTTAACAAATAAAGGCACTATTTCCACATACAGTTTGGAATTATCAGCAATCATGAAACCAGACAAAAAATTAATATACATTAAGCACTTCATCTTCTGATGGCTTCCTCTGAGTCTCAGTTATCGCAGCCTTCTCCTCATTTCCTCTCTTTGTATCTTCCTGTATTGATCTCTGCCTTTTCATCTCTTGAAAAAAGGGGAAAGACATGTAAAATTATTATAAAGCTTGATATTTATGTATTGAAATGTGGACTTACATTATCAGGTTTTCATATATTTATTGTTAAATATTATTAAATCATAAGATGGGAAAACAGGTTTTATATTTTCTCCTACCTGGTCTGCTCTCCACGTATTGACTGAAAGACTGGAGCTGAGTTTTTCTGACGGTAGAGTCCTTGCTGAACACAACAGGATTTCTAAACCGTTCTGCTGCTTTTTGTAATCGCTCAGCACGATGTTCCTCTGTTCCATTCTGCTAGGAAAAAAACCAGACACACAACAGTTTCTTTTGTTTACAAACGGGAAGACACGAATTCGAAAGGTACGTTTCAGCGAGGGGACAGGACGCAGCTTTTGCAAAGAGGATTTCACAACTCGGGCTGCGGTTTATATGGGATGAAAGTATCAGCTGCAGAAAAAAAGAAGAGTGATTAACTTTTCCTTTTTTTTTTTTGTTTAATGTGTGATGGCAACGACTGGCTTTTTGCTATGTGGGTACCCTCCTGCAGGACTCTCTACTTACTGAACAGCCAGACCTATTAATTGCGACCAGTATTTGCCAGCGATTTCATTTAAAATCGGAAAATCACTCCTTTGCAACTTTGATTTGCCAAGCGCTGCGCATGCTGCTGCCAAGTAGCAGCGTCTCTACCCCTGAACACGATCTGTATCGTTTTAAAAGCGTGTTGCCTTTAGCCTGTCTCTCTGCCCGGCAAAGAAATCTTGTCGTTTTCTGTAGTCCCACAGACTTGTATGACAAGAAGAACTAGTTTCTAATTTTATGCCCATTGAGATAAACCACTAATGCTGGATGAAGGCTAAAAGGTAGGATTATAATACTACCCCACTGAACTGCATTTCATCAGCTATAACTTTCCAAAGCCAGATTTGTAAGTAAGCCCTTTACAGCTAAGGAAACTACAATTATCTTTTCCAGGGCTTCCTATGTTAATACTGGTAACAAATTCAAATGGTTCTATCAACACGAAATATCCCAGAAGACTGAACCACCGCAGCGTGTGGAAACTGCAGATACCGAGGTGCTGTGTACCAAACAAATATTTCATTTTATACCTAATCTTTTATTATTTTTATTAAGTGTTTTGAAAGTAAATAGGGAAAGGCTAAGATGCATGACTAATAGCTAAGCCTGCTGAATGCTGAAACTGGTTATCAAAAGCTACCAAGACTTTGCCCTTCCTCTGCATTGAGACAATCGGTAATGAGGGAGTTCTCCAATGGCCTATTCTCTAGCCTCAAGGAGGCCGGGGATACACAATCCCCAAGGGAAGGTAACAGTTTATCCTTTTCCACAAACACAGAATGCCTCATTTAGAAACGTGTAAACTGCATTTTATTAAAAAACAAATCCACCTCAATGCCGAGAGCTCCATGAGAACAGATGGACACCATATATTCCTTATAATGCCGCTTCCCAACTCTTCCTTAGAAAGACGTACACAGAGATAAACTGTTAAGTTGCACCTTTTGTGGAGGTACCTTAAAAAAAGCAACTCCTTCACGGAAGCTTTTCATAAAGAGAAATACCGTTTTCGTCAGGTTAGGTGATACCAAATTACCCTAAGAGGCGGCCCGTGTATCATTTGTAGAATTAAGCTTAAAAAAGTATTGTTCATACTCTCCGGATGACTTTTCAGCTGCACTAACCGGGTGGTTATGATTCTGGCTAAATAAAAAGTGGTTTCCTGTTATTAGCACAATAACCATCTGACAGCCTAAACCAGAGCCTTTACCAAAATAAACAAACATGACTAATTTTTTAGGCCTGGCAACATGCTAAAATATCAGTGTGATTAGCCAGTAAATCCCATTTTAAGAAACCTTTTTATGACTGGGGACTTCTGCCACTTTACAAATGTATTCCTCTAAGCCCACTAATTCAGTTAGCCTTTTCAATCCATTGTATTATTCTTGGGCCAGCTTCATTTTGCATTAAATCCACTGCAGAAAGCTAAATTGAACGCAAAAATCAGACTTGATCCAGGCTTCCTTTTGTTCAAAGATAGAGACCGAAAGTCCTCTGCTGCTGCCACACACTTTCATCACCAATTTATAGGAACCGACAGTGTAAGGGAAAAGCAATGAAAGTCATTGTTTTGGGACTTCAAAGCATCTCTGTATCTGGGGAAGGAAATCCTTTCAGTCAGCAGTGCTTTCCCCCCAGACTGCAGGTGGGTGAAAAGTTATACCCAACTGGAAGTGCCCCAGAGCCATAGGGATATTAATGACATACAGGGACTATTTTTTTAAAATAATAATAGTAAGAACACAAGGGGTCTAATTATGAAAATTAAATGGAAAATTGATTGGTGTGCGCTTTATGCTGAAGCGGTAAACAGTAAGAATAGGCAAAATGACTGCATACACCGCATGTTCGTGTCTATTTTTCTCAGAAGCACTCGTTGTCAAGCACTTAAGTATGCATGCCTTTAAAGTGTACCACGGCTTAATTTTAATGGAGAAAAAACAGAGGGTCAGGCTTGGGAGGGAAGCAAATCACCAAGAGTCCAATCCTGCTCTCATTAAAGTCAGGGAGAGTCTTGCTGCTGATCACACCGGCAGCAGGATGGACCCTGTGCTGTATTTCTGATTTAACTGACAACCTGAGCAATAAGAACTGAGAAATGCTTGTTATATCTGTTACTGTTATGCCAATGACAAGTATCAAGATAAAAAAAAAAAGAAAATGTGTTGATTAATCAACAGGAAAAAACCCAGTGCATCGCAAACTATGCAACTGCACTGCCATGCAGATTTTCTGCGTTTCTTACTGTGAAGGATTTGATAAGAAATCATTTTCCTCCTCATGAAGTACAAACCGAAATCGGAACACACAGGTACTGAGACAAAAGCATTAATCAAAACTTACCTTAATGTCTTGCTCTGAGCTATCAGTTACAGCTTTCTGAGCAGCACTGGAGAGTGAATTTGCCACCTGTGGCTGAGCTTCTAGGAGCTTCTTCAGCTTCAAATCCACCAACTTACTGTTTTGTTCTGCTAAATATGCAAATACCACATACAACAGAGTGAGATGCATTTAAATGCAGAGTCACTACAACAATGTAGCAATTTAAAGGGTAGATTTCATTCACTTTGCTATCATTTCAAACTAAAAAAGTAAAAACTGGAAGGAAATTTTTTTTTTGGTGATTTGGATTGGTATAGATTTGTGTAACGTACATAGATAATGCCTCAGTTCTCTCAAAAAATCTATGTAGCTCTCAGCTGAACAAGTAAACGTGCTTGAAGACAGTAGATGAAAAAACAGAAAGTAGACAATGTTTACTTTAAGTTACTCCCAACCTGTACATACCTATACTTTGGTATAAAGCCACACTTGAGCCATTGATTTAAGATGACACATAACAATTTATCACATATTCTAAAGTCCTGATAACCCCTCAAGTTTATGAACTACTAATTCATCCTAGGGCTCTTCGGCACAGCCTCTCAATGTTCAGAATTAAGAGACAGCTTTCTAGTAATGTTTTACTATGATTTATAGAATATGTTGAAGCTGTGAGAGCCATAAAATGCTTCGTAACTGCATCGAAGGGACAGATTCAAAGTCTGCTGAAGCCCCAAAATTTTTTTCATCAGTTTTAGCAACTTGGATCAGAGCCCAAAGAAATAAGAGTCAAGAATTTTACCTCCCAGTAACGCTCATTCTGTACGTGACCGTTGACTACATGAATTTGTAACACACCTACACACACAGTTACCTACACATACACACATAATAAGGAGAAAGGTGTTAATAACAAACCACGGCGCAGATCTATGGAGCCAGCCCTGGGTAGGAAGGCAGAAAAACGCTGGCGCAGAAGCCCCCAGACATACTCTACATGCAGCACCACATGAGAAATCACCCCTGAAACGGAGCGAATGCAGCATCACCTGTGCATATTATGCATGTACATCTGGGCCTCGGGTCAAATGCAGCGAAAATAGCAGTTGCTATGTTTTTCTATAGGCACAGCCTGAGTTTTTCACTGTGGGCTGGTAATTTCTAGCTGGTGTGGAAAGTGGAGCTATGACTGTTTTGCCGCACAGCTCCTTCTGAGATTTAGAGTGCTCTGATTCACGTTAGGCAAAATATTTTTGGCATGCTGGCAATCAAACGATGCCTGCCTCCAGCAGCAATGGGCTGGGCTGGGCTGGGTTATGACGAAGGATAATTTCCCTTTCCCCTGGCACATCCAGTCAGGGTGCCCTTAATGGAGGCTCACATGTAAGTACATGCACATTCTTGTGGGTTTATACATAAACATCATGTAATAACTATGATATAAGAGGTTCACATTTTTTCAGATACATTCACAGCGGTGTATGGTAGCAGTACTGACAAACACACAGATGCAATATTTAAAACCAACAATTGGCAGTATAAGTAAAAAAAAAGTTTTCTCTTCTTGAGAGAGATGGGAGGGACTAAGATTCAGCAGAGAACAGGTTAATTAAGATGGTAACAATAATCCCAAATGTGAAATGTCCCCTACCATTTTGCATTTAGGTGCTCCCAGGAGATTCAGCCTTCATTAGAACTTGGTATGAATTGGTAGAATCCCACTGAAATCTGTGTACACTGATTTCTATCACTGCATTAAGACTGCTTTCTGTATTACTGCCCACCCCCTTCCTTACTCGTTTGTCCCTCTGGCTACTGTGCAGACTGAACTGCAAAATGATGCGATTTCTATCACCGCATTAAGACTGCTTTCTGTATTATTGCCCATCCCCTTCCTTACTGGCTACTGTGCAGACTGAACTGCAAAATGATGTCCAAGATTTTTTCCAGAATGTCTTCCCATGGGGGAGATGAAGTAGTAGTAGGTAGTGGGTTTGTATTCCTGTGAAGGTATCTCTCAAGAAAAAAGGCCCACAGAAATAAAGCGTGGTAAGTCACTGGGGCTATGTGACTGGAATATTCATTTACTGATTTTCTATTTCTCCTAAAATGAACCAGTATTTATTGGAAAATTATTTGACAGGATTCTACTCTAAATCAGCTTAATTCAAATGCTGGAAACATTAAATATATTTTCTTATGTGTTTGGAAATCCTCAAATAATAATAAAAAAAAAAGGACAGGACTCAAATCTTTCACACTCAAAAAAGACTAGAAAGTGCTATATGCACATCACTGTTGGTTTAATTTACAAAGAGTAAACACTAAATGAAGTCTTTTGATTTACTATATTATGGGCTACGAACTTGGGTCCAGTTGGCATGGGCAGAACCAAGTCAGAGGATACTGTAAGAAGTTCTCTCTTGTACTGCCTTTATCCCGATGCTGTCCTGTGCTTGCCACACTTCTCTGGGCTCAAGCTAACTTGCATGGAGCAGAAATGCCCTGGCAGAGAAGCACACCATACTACAAAGAGGTCCTCAGCAATCCCCAGGGCTGCTGGTAACACGCAGACTTGGTACAGAGAACAAACTCCTTCAGCAACTCTATGAGCAGAGGAGCCCCTTACTGATGGGCAATTACCTTCACATCTTTGAAGTTCTAGCCCCTTTTTAAATAAGCATCTCCTTCGTAAGATCCTGACATATTTATCATTTATGGAGGAACCTGAACTCCCGTTTTGCTTGACTACAATTTTTGAAAGGGGAGATACCACTACTATGATTTATTATTACTTGACCAGCATATGCTAAGATTATACAAGCGTTTCTACAAGAATATGAATGCTTGTGAAATGTGTTATTGAAAATCTATTACCTGAACCTTGTAAGGCAAATAAGACTAATTCTGCTCAAATTTATACTTCCATGTCCCCACCGGAGCAACAAGATACATAGACAAGAACTGGTCCTCAGGAAGGAACCAGAGGGATACCAAGCCTACATGGAAATACAGACATGTTTGCTCCTCTTCACTGGGCACATGGACCAGGATGTCAGTGCAGAGAGCGGTAGCTGTACTGACCAACATGACTGCTTGCTCCTCTGGCTTGCCAACCTTGCTTTGCTGGGACAATCCAGCTAGGGTGATTTCAGGTGGCTCTGCTTTACAAACCTGGTCCCCTTTCCCATGAAACAGCAAGAGACATTTAAATCTGCCATTGTTGGAAATAATGATTTTGTTGTTGATTTTAACTTTCAACTAAGCACGAGTGAGAAATATTCAAAAAGAATAAGCTTTAGTGTTTAAAAGACCTGAAAAGGCACAAAGGAATAAAGCTATGACAGAGAGAAGCAGCACACCATTACTTATATGATGATGGAGTGTTAGTCATGCAAAATACACAAAATAGCCATTATTTAAATTACCCGTTGAATCAAGGTCATTTTCTAGGTTAGTAAGCTCATCTCCACCTCCAGTAACAGAGCATTCAGGAACCTCCTCGTTAGTATCTATCTCAATATTATCATCATCCTCATCCTCATCTGTAGGAACATACAGCATTAAGGTTAGTATTTTCTTATGTACATGCACCACATTACTAAAAAAAAAAAAAAAAAGAATGCTTTAGAGAACAAGCTGAGTTACAATAAAAATGCAAATCATTAAATAAGTCTGGAAGGGGATTTCACTCTGTCCACTCATAGATATATCTTTAAACTGATGCAATTCAATATACACACAGGGGGCTCTGCTGGTAACTCCTGCTACAATAAAGGTAGAGTCTGGACTCAGCAGTGGCTGTTTTCTGTGCTGAATCTCTGGCTAACTCTGAAAAGCACATGCGTTTTTCCTTATAACTTGAGTCAAAATAATTTCCCCTAGGCTCCTCGTTCTCTATAATGCAGAATGGGTGCTGAAGCTGGCATATGGCAGGTTTGGATGGGTCTGGCCAGCAGAAGGACCTGGGAGCTGCTGTCTCTTGAGAAAGGCAGCAGCTCCAGGTACTGAGTTCCCAGCTCGGTGAGGCTTGCTACTCCTTACTTTGCACAATATATCACAGATGAGTGACCACTGTACCTTGCTTAAGTGTTAGCATCTCCTACCACTTCTGATACCAGGAGGAAAACTACCACCTGGAACATCATGCTTAACAAGTGCTGACCTCAGGTGTAAGCAAGAGCACACTCACAGATTGCTGCCTTACTGCATCACTTTGAATCAGCATTGTTTGTAAGCTACAAACATCTTAAATAAAATAATAATTGTAATTATACTTTACATTTTTTACGGGATCTTTCTACCAAGTTTCTCAGAGCAGCTTATGAATATCACTTGTAAATAAGCCCCATAATGTTTTATGAAGTAGGCAATCATTATAATTACAATAATGATGATGATGTAGGTAAATTATGGCGCAGAAAGAGTAAGTAACCTGAGGAAGATCAAATAGCAAGAGCAGAATTATGAAGCAGATCCCAGAAAAAATCCTGACTCACATTTTCAGTACAAATATATAATGAAATAAAAGTCCATAAAAGCTAGATTAGTACTTTCAAAGCATGTAGTTGCATTGTATTTACTCACTTTCAAGTGTCATATCAAATGCTATCTACACTTGTTCAGGCTTACACAAACATTTTTTTCCTATGTATGCCTGTAAAATTCCTACATGCTTGTAAAAATGACAAAGAGAGGGATGGAGTGTGTCTGGAGAAAGAAGACACATATAGTAACTAAAGGAACTTTAAACTACTTCACAACAGGAAAAAATACTAACTATAACTACAGGACATTGGTATATACAAATGTCATATAAACAAAAAGGATTCTAAACACAGTACCAAGATGCCGTAATCCTTAATACCAGAAATTTGGGGAAGTTTGGACCAGGATTGGTGCTGCAACTCATCATCTGCCTTTGAAGTACACTAAACCTCATCCCCAGACCTGAAGTTTGCACTTCAGGCCCACACTGCTGACACAAAGGTCTTAGAATTGTTTCTTTTCTTTACCTCTTTATCTCCATGGTCCCTATAATTCCCATTTTAGGAGCCTGTTGACTTTTTTGTATGTCTGCTACTCTTTTCTCACCAGCTGCTCCCTCAATCCCTCTGCAATTAATCGATGTCTTTCACAGACCTCTGATGATTCAGGGTAAGACTCTTGCTGCAACAGACAGGAGCAAAGAAGTTTCCATTTCAGTGTCTTATTCAATGTCTGTTGTGTGTATGGTGGAGCAGCAGTTTGTGAAGTAGGACCCCTCCATTTCAGCTGACCACCATGACTTCCTTGGGCTCCTCTCCACTAATTCTCAGCGGTCCCTGGAAGAGTCAGCTTTCTTCCAAACCACCCCAGCTTGAGCCAGATGGATGGAGAAGAATATCTCTCCCCAGCCAAACCAAGATCTGTGACCAGACCTGGGACCTGACAGATGATCCTTCAGGTAAATAACTGGGTGGGCAGAAACACTGAGGACTCTCTGTGACATCCTTTCTGTTCCCATTTAAATTCACACAGATGGTTCTGTGACCTGGACTCTAGTTGTTTCAGGTAGCGCAGAGGCAGGTGAACAAAGTAGAAGGGCACAGTGTGATCATCCTGAAGTGGGGAAAGGGATGGGGTAAAAAGCAAACTGAAAACAGAGAACAGTAAAGCAGCAACAGCAATAATTCTGAAGTTTTGAATTTTCTTCAAAGCATCTCCACTTTTTCTAATGAGGAGCTAGACTTCTCATGTGATTTTAAATCCTTTATGATGGTGTCAGAGAAATTCAGTGGCACGCAGGCCACGGTACTCTCAAACGTATCCTGGAGCTCACAGTGGCACACTGAAAGCGTGACTGGGCTAACAGCAGCAAAGGGCCATGGACATTTGGAAGACGTGGAAAAGAAAAAGAGGGACACCACCACGGCAGAGGGAAACCAAATCCACCTCAAACCTAGAGGCAGGCAATGACTTTCCAAAGCACCCAAAGAAGTCAGCTCGCAAGGTCAGCTCACAACTACCGGCAGGATGCTGGATGTGTCAAAACAATCTAAACAAGATGACAGGGTTTAAGACTGCTGGATACTAAGGGGATGCTTATATTAGATTATTTGATTTTCTTTAATTTAATATAGCGAGATGAGATCAGAGGCACTGTCTTTGACACCACCATTTTAAGTAACAAAAGAGATGGGAATGTCGAAGACACCAGTTCCTAGTGTCAGATAATGACCTGACCTAGTATTTAATTTAAAGTTGGCAGGCTTCAACTGAATATGATTATCAGGACGTTTACACTTTATTAAAAAAAAAAAAATCAATTAAAAGCATTCATTTGAAGTAATTTCAGAAATTTTCAAGTATCTTTCAAAATCTACAGATTCCTTGTTTTAAATTACTCTAGGGTTTTTTTTTCCAGTCCAATGTTCTTCCAGTGTATTAAAAAGGGAAGTGTGTTTAGGGAGCATGTTACAACAAGATTTTGCAATTATAAATGATAAAAGGAACAACATGACGAAGAGATAACAGATATCTTTTATAAAAAGAACAAATTACTAGTGTGAAAAACTTAAAAGCACTTGGTCTAGAACCAGGGCACATATTTAGAAGAGTACTAAAGAACTGCTTCCTTGAAAAGTATGTAAATGTGGATCCTAGAAAGACAGCAAAGCTTTACTATGTTGTGAAGAAATGAACAAAACTGAAGATAAAGTCAACAACTAAACAGCACTGACCATTACCTACACAGCCTGGACTGCAGTCTGGACCAAAAAGAGCGAAAAAAGGATCTTCCGGAACCAAATGGAAATGCCAGAATATTGACAGAAAAAAGATCCAGAGGCCCTTTATAGCTTATATGTCTTACTATTGAGATTAAGCTCAGGCATAATTCGTGGTTAAACTGATATTCTCTTGACTTGGCTTAAGCTTGTCCACATGTGAAGGAGTTGCAGCAGACTGCATCAATTTCTAGACAAAATTAAACAAGAACCATTTTCATAGGGAGGTAAAAACATTGATGGGGGTTGGATCATATTAGTGGGAGTGGCATACATAAGCTGCCACTGGAGTTGCATGAACAGTACTTGCTCTTAAGGGAAGATCCCAGCAGGACTGTGTCTGGGAAATCCTTCAACCTTGTGGATATTTTCAGATATTTAGGTTATTTACTTTCAGGTACAGAGTTCACTTTAAGGCTACAGGATGTGACAGGAGCATCTGAACAGTAATAAAGGAAGCAAAGGCGGGGAATGGAAGACATGCAGTCAAAATACTGGTTCAGTGTACAAGAAATCAGATGTCAGGACAAGAAAGTATAGCAGTAACTGCCAACAGATACAAATAATGCCTGTTAAAAATATTAAATCAAGGACCTAACACTGTTTTATGAGTTGGAGACTAAGCATGATGAGTAAGCCTGAGCTACATGTACATTCCCTCAGAAGTAAAATCTGTAATGTACCCTGAAAACTTGAGGCATACAAGTGCAATGCAATGCCAGCTGGCTCTCTCGGGTAAGTTTTTTAACTGCAGTAAACCTTTCCAACTTTTGTTATTAATTCCAAACTTTTTCTGTCTTACAGTACATTTGGATGCTGTTTCTCCCATGTTTTTCCCTCCTTGCTCCTCTAACATCTCTTTTCTGTGCCATTCTTGTGTTTGTTATCTTCTCCCCTCCCAGTTTTGCCTATCTTTGGCACTTTTTTCACCTAAGTCTCTTGACACTATGCTTGTCTTACCCCCTGTCCTCTCCATTGTTCCCTTCCTTTGCTGCCTAGCCACCACCTCCAGATTCGAGCCACATCCTCAGAAAGACGCCATCTCAAATAAAGAATGGAGATGTGCCAGAGAGTGAAGACACAGTACCCAAATCCCAAAAGAGTAGATGGTTGTCCCACTGCATGGGGACAATACCTAGATAAGATGTCAATTCCTTTGTCCCGTCACTGTTGGGAAAAGGTGGATTCCTATCTCGATACTGTCCCTGGACCCATCTCAAGGCATCCGCTTATCAGCCTGAAGCTAGTAGGGCATCAAATAAATTTGAAGCTGCCATCCCAAACCCTCTGGCAATTGGCAGGAAGAAGTATTTTCTGTCTCACACATCAAATAACCTATGAAAAAGACTGGATTTTGTAGCAAAGGATGCTGCTTATCCAGGAAAGTTTCAACTTGCCATAGGCATTTGAGTTTTTCAGACCATGATTAAATAAAGCCTTTTAACAGAGAATGTGGCACCAGTGCCAAAGCATGAAACTCTTAATGAGCATATATACACACTGAAAGAGATCACATTTTCACCTACAATAGTGAGCAAGAAGTTAGTCTTTAAGAACTCCAAAATTCCAAAGCTGAGATGTCACTTTTTTTTCTGGAATAACTGAATTGAGAGGAAAATTATTTGGTACATTGCTTTTTTTGTAAATTAAAACGTAGCAATCTGCAGAAGAAGAGATTAATGAAGCATAGTGGACAAGAGAGCTTGGAAGACAGAAGATATTACTATAAGCTTGTCTTGGGTATTGTATAGGGAATACAGGACTACACACAACAAAAAACCTACTACCTGTGTATGCAGTCAGGAGCAATATTCAGAATCTAGTTGTAATAAAGAGACTGTCTATTAAATCCTAATTTTTGGTGGAAATCAAAAAATGAAAAAGATGAAACCCAGAAATGTAATTTATTTGGTTTATAAAGTGTTGGTGCCATTTCACAGAACTACGCCATTTTAGAAGAATTAATTTCTTGAATGGAGATCTAGTTTGGCACATGACATTACCAGCAGTGTAGTAGAAGTATGTGGAAGATGTGCCATAAGGAAAGCTTTTTGAGAATGAATAAGTAGAAGGAAGTGCCATAAAATGCACATTGACATGAGAAGAGCAAAGAGCAAATAGCTTGGCTGAACTACTGCATGAATAAGGAAAAATCAATGTAGGAAACATAAACCAAGGAGACAACTTGCAAAAGCACATGCAAAAGTAGAAAGCAGTAGAATTTTATACTGGATAAAAAAACCAACAGGTATAGTGATGATAACTTTATAAACAAGTTGTCATCAGTACTGATACTGTGTCCTTCTTTAGTAACACTGAACCTCCGAGTGCATATGCTCTCTGTATATAAATACATTTTTAAGATATATATGCACAGTGCACAGTTACCTCTGAGACTGTTTATAAATTGAATAAAGGGCAGGAGGAACAATGGCAAAATTCAGAGGAAAATATGAACAGTAAAGGCCACATCCCAGAAAACAGCATACTGGGATATTTAGCAACACTACAAGTGAGTCACTGCAACAAACCAGGGTAATACTATCCAGCTGAGCACTCAGGATATACCCAGAAAGCGCACCTTACTGGGAGGGAAGAGATGGCAGGAACAGCTATGTACAGGCACGATAAACAGTGAGGAGGAAGTAATTAAATAACATAGGATGGGGAGTCATATATTGAGGAGAGGCATGAAGAACACCATAGTCTACTTAATATACGAGCACTGTGCCATTTTGCTCAGCCTGCCTTACTCCCTTCCCCACCAAGGATGCAATTTCCCTATTTATCATGAAAGAGAGTTATGTTGGTAAGCTTGGTTTACCAGGCAGAGAGGAAGACTGAAGACCAGACCTAAACTACCTACTTTTCTCTTTGGTGTTAAATGGAACAGAAGTGTAGGGTTTAGGGTGCAGTAAGACTATTTAAATATATATGCATATGAAATACATCTAGTAAAGAAGAAAAAAAAATACTGTTGTTGAATCTACATGCATTGTGAATGTAAAGCTGGATTTTCCTGACACTTTGGCTTACAATTATGTGTTAGTATGAGAAATACAATTTCCCCTTAGAATATGTAGAAGACACTGAAAGAGCAAGAAGCTTGTCCTGAAACGTGTGCTCAGCACCCATTTGAGTTTGAGTGACACTACATTACTCCAGCTCATAGCACTGGCAGATATATGAATTTTAATGACATTTCAAAGTCAGTTTAATAACATTATAGCAATATTACAACTCAAAACCTGTAAAGGCAAGTGGTATGTCAAAAGACTGCCATTTAAAATCAAAAGTTTGTTGCCCCCACCTCCCATGGGCTGCCTTTAAACTTCTCTTCCCAAGCAGTCTTTTGAACAGATTTAATACAAAATACAGTTTCTTAAGTATTTCTAATGTTGTTTCCCCCCACATTATGTCCATGCTCCTATATAAAAATATGTATTGAAGAGATTTTAACCAATAATCATAAAGTTCTAAAAAACTGTGGGTAATGACAAATCTGTAAATAGTGAGCCAATATGAACTACTTGTTCACATAACATCTTTTTCTTTCAATCACATATATGCTTTTCTTTTAATTGTTGAGAATCAAGTGAAACAATGCTGATTTAGGAAACATATGTACGGCCAGGTCTTTTGATATGTGCACCTTATGAACAACAACATTTTGAAGTGTGAATAAAAGTGATACCCAAAAAGGTCTCTGGTTCCTAGGTTGCCATAGGAATAAGATACAAGGTTCCTCAGCTCACCTCCAGATGCCTTTGACCTTTCTTTCAACTTTTCTGCAGCCATTTCACTGTAGCTAGGAAGTTCTGACATCTTCACTCCAGATCGAGCTTCTGCTATTAGCTGACGAGCTCTCTCTCTCAGCTGCCGACGCCGCTCTTCATCTTGCTGCTAAGATATATTGAACAGTTGCCAACTCAGTAATTGACAGAAATGCAATTTCATTCTCAATCTGATCATCATGATAGTAACTGGTTTACAGCATGGTGCTTGGCCCACATTATAAATAGGATGCTCGATATCAGTTGGGTGTCACACCACAATTTTTAAAGACATCCATGAATCAGATTTTTTTAAAGCATTCCCCAAATTATTAATGCATTAGAAACCTAATTATTTGTAATTTAAAGCATTTATTAATTGTGTTATTAATTATTTTTATAAAATACCTTGATGAAAATTCTCAGACACTTTTGTTGCAAAGTAATAACCACAAAAAGTTTTACTGTGGCTATAAAAATTATTTTACTAAATTGAATTACTTTTTCAAGTAATACTCTCTCATAGAACTGAAATGAGAAGCCAGATGCTGCTTTCAGTTACTCCAAACACCAAGATGACTTCAAAGTGTAAAGTGACATCAAATCTGAGGCATGGAAAGGCATCTAATCCTTCAACTTCAACGGATACACCTTTTTATAAAAAAAATAACTGATGAAAATTAATGAAACAACAATAGATGCCAGAGCAGAAAAGACTTTGCACCACTTTAAAATATCCTACTAGTAGGGCTTTGGTCAGTAACTAAAGAGATCATACTGGAACCATCCCAGATAGTGCTGTCCCATTAAAGCTTGTAACGATCTTAGAAGCACAATAATATTTCAGTTACATAAATGAACAAAGTTCTACAGCATGAAATTTTGGAAAAGACTAACCCACAATACTAAAAAAAGAAATTAATAAAAAGATGTGTTTAAACATATCTATACGAATCCATTAAACCATAAGGGAAACAATTTCAGTTTTCACCTTAAAAATGCAATTTTTTCAAAGTTAGCACTGTTTTCCCCCCTCCCCTCAACATTAGAAATGCTCATAAGTGAAACAGAGTCAGCATTTGGCTTTAAGTCAAATCTGTTGATAGGTTCATATTATTGACATAATGACCAGGATAAAACCCAGGTATAGGCAGTTGACCTAAACTAACTGGAATATAACAAATTGTCTAATACTGGAGAGGAGTCCTGGCAGACTTCCCACCAGCCCAGAAACTGAGCATCCCGCACCTGCAGATGCTGGTGAGAGCTGCTGCTAAGTGCTATTTAGTTTAAGCAATCATTAATAAAACAAGTGCAAAATACTAATTAGGTACATTTTACCCATTTCCATGTAAATTGTTTGTTTGTAGCTATTTACTCAGCATTGTTCTCAGCACAATAGAAAAAATGCAAATGACTGAATCAGAATGCAGCCCTAATGGGACTTTCTGTTTATAACCATTAGCCCAGAGGTGTGCTGTAATTCAATCCTCAAGCAGCAAGATTTAGCCTCATTAACAGCTTGCATGGGCAGGTTACAACTCATAAAACCCTACAGTAAACAAAGTATATGGACACAGCACAATATCTTGTCTCTGAGTGACAGAACCCTGATTTCCTATCAGATTGCCTTGATTTACTTTTCTCCTAATGTCCTTCCCCTGGAAAGACAATTCTGCCTGGGCCCTGCAAGGCAGCGGGATGGCACATTGGCTTTGTTTGCTTTCTCACCCTTTAACTTCCCAGAAGGCACAGAGCAACAGTTCTATCAAAAACTTATTTGGTAAAGTACACATTAGAAAGACAACTGGAAAGCTTCCCCCCTGCTCCTATGCGCTATAACAGACCAATTTAATTTAATTTCTAGCCAGCCAACTGATACAGCAACCGATTTTATTTCGACCCGCAGTATTCAGTAACATAGATTACATTGAATTTTACATGAAATAAAACTGCTGAAATCTCTATTATTTGTAATTCCTGGGATATAGGAACTTGTGGGTTTGATTTAAATTACTTCTGAGAAGGAACGTGCAAAATTTATATTAAGATTCCCATGTGGTTTAATGTCAAACTACTATAGCCCACGTAGTTTAAAATAAGGCCAGTTACGTGTTTGTGACAAATGTGCCCTAAACTGAGCAGGCTGATCCCCCCCCCCCCTTTTCTCCCCCCCCCCCCAAAAACAATTTTTTTGTGTTTGTGCTGATTAAGCCAATCATCACCAGCGGATAAGAGAAAAACCAGCCTAGTTCTTGCTTAAATTCAATTCAGGTATTTGAACCCTTGGTCACTGAGCTTGGCAGAGGAAACGCTGGTGGAAGGAGCAAAGAAACTGAGAGCAGAAAAAGTAGGTAGATTAAGTTTTGAGGTACAGAACAATTATTAAACATCAAAACAATCCTCTAGATTTTGGAAAGGAAAGTGCTTTGGGGAGGTACAGAGGCATGAACATAGATATTAAAAAAAAAAGGACACACAAAGAGAAACTCTGCACCAGGAAAGGACCATGCAAACACACATAGAGAGATTTTTTTCCTGTACAGTTGAGGAGAAAACTCAGTAAAATCTTTCACCCTCTGACATGAGCCTGACTTGCCAAAGAGACATTAAAGTTTGCTCTGTTATTTTCCCCCAATTACTTTGTAATGGTCTGAAGACCTGCCTCGCGGATGCACAGCGAGGAAAACTTCACCATTTAAGGACAAACTCTTCAAGAATAAGTAATGTAATTCCTTGTTTGCCTCCTATAAAAATGTATTGGTATGCAATTTTTATATTTCACAGTTCACCGACATCTCGGCAAGCTTTCTTCCACTGCTTCAATGGTGCTACTTTTAATTTTATCCTCCTTAGTCCTAGTAATTAAAGTGATCAGCAGTGGCATCCCAACGGCTTTGACACAGCTACAACCCCCTAGCAGACTCTGGCTTTTAAGGGGAAGGGGAAGAAAAAAAGGACGGGAGTTTCATTTCACTGGAACAAGAAAATCAAGCTTCTCCAATCCTCAACTTTATCCAATTGTTCTTTCAGCAGCCTTTGGATCTTAAGAAACAAATAAAAATGGCTGCCATTAGGGGGTCCTTTTTGTACTCGCCGCAGACGGCAGTGACTGACATTACTTTGGCCAAAAATGATGCCGTGGATTTGGGAAGGTGAATTCGAATGTGAAACACTGGCAGGGCAGTTTCCGAGATCATTACCCGGCCAGCGATGTTGCTCTGCAGCAGCAGAAGCTGAGAGCTGACCAACTTGGTAAAATATTGAAAGCGGTGGAGTCTTGCAGGGGAAAAAAAAAACCAAACCAACCACCCCCATAAAACCAATCTCCTTAAATCATTAAAAATTCTGCGGTCGTCTCACATTTTCAAAAAAACCCCTCTGCTAGGGGTTTTCAGTCCTTCTTTGGCAGAATTTTGGGAGGATCCAAATTGAGTTTACACCAAAAGTCTCACAATGCATTATCCTCTCCCTGTAAAAAAAATACAATCCCGTGAGCTGCATTTATTTGATGTATAAAAAGAAAATTCTTCACCGTGTCCATAGACTGGGGAAAAAAAAAAAAGTGGTAAATTAGTGATACTCCACAGCAACAAAATTAAACCAGAATTGTACCTAGGAGGGGGAGCAATTCCAGTAGCTGTAGGTTTCAAAATTGTCCGTGGTCTGCCCCGAGTGCACAGTACATCTAAGAGAAAGAACTTGACTGCCACCTCTTTCATCATTAGGCAGGAAGAACGGCTCTGTTATTAGCCATTCAGAAAGCAAAAGACTTCTGTGCTTGTCCAGAGGCAAGGATTACCAAAATGTACCTATTCAGTTAGTAGAGAAGACAGAATAAAAAAATAATAATAAAAAAAATTACACGAGCTTTAAAGGTTTGGGCAGGCTGGGTTTTACTGTGACCTTGATCGGCTCTTGTTTGAGTAAATAGGATTTGGGATGAAACATTAAAACTGTTTAGCAGATCTTTTCAAACCATTTCAAACTTTTCTTATGTTGGTTTATAATATAACCAGACATGCTTGTAAATGGCCACACCTGCTCATTTCTCTAGGGATGGCCTGATCTCTGCCTTTTCTAACAAAGAAAGGATGGGAGAAAAAAAACCAGCCTTTCTTGTTGCAAAACAGAGTGGAAAGTCAAAATCTTTCTCAAGTTTGTCCCATCTGGTCAGATTAAATCTTTGATCACCCTGGGGACCACATTTATGTTTGGTCTCTACTACCGTTTCAGAACAGCTCAAAATACACAGGTAGCGAGCAAAATATGAATTGCTAACCAGGGAACACTCGACATAAACAAAAGTGCATTGGCTTTGGATTTCTCTGCCTAGTCAGATTGTCGGAAGTGGTCAGCAAAGAACGACATAAACATCTTGAATATTTTCTGCCTTCTGCCTGGTGTCTACATCAGCTGCCTTACTACCAATAAACTGTATGTAGCTTGAAAATATTTTTTCAGGAATGTATATCACAAAAAGTATCAAATCACTTGTCATAAAGAAGCAGCTATTGGCTTATGATGTATGATACTGATGGACTAACGAGACAAAACAGAATGAAAACAGAAGTAGCCCAAAGTCTAAAACTGGAAGAATCACAATGTCTTAACAAAGCTGTCCCCTTTAAGAAAAAAAAGCCCCTGAAATTCATAATAAAATAGGGTTGTGTGGCTGTAAAATTCAAAACATCTCCTTAAGCACAGCAGGTATTTTTAAAAAAAATTTGCCTGCAATTTTTTGTTTTTATTTCTTTTTTTAATATAATCTATGTTGTTCTGGAAAACCTACAGTTCACTTGGTTTCTGGTGTGAAGAATCCTGGCTGTAGAAAAACAATCCATTGATAATTTAATTCCTTGTGTCATTGTGAAATTAAGAAACTCTTAGTTTACTGAATGAAAAAAATATATATTTGAAAAAAAGAACGGCTGACTAAGTATCACCTTGTGCTACATCCAAGGCCTCTTGCTGGTTGTCTGGCTGCTCTTTTGTAGGCAAAAAGGAGCTGAACGCTCTCTGGCTCCTTAGATCTGGCCCAACAAATGCACTGCCAGTCATGCACATGGATCCAGCTTAAAACCCAGTGTGAGCCTAAAAGAAGCTAGTCAAACTGGCACCTACTCATGC